ACGTAGAGAGACAGTCGAGCTTGTTGTCCTGCTTTCATGGTGTCAATTTTGAATAAGTATTTAAAGAAAAGCTGCAACCAACAGCCTGGAGTGATTAAAGAACCAATAAATCAGGGACATGACAGACACATCCTCAGAGCAGCTTATAAACCTCATTTTTGCACCACTTTTCTTTTTGTTTGACATTTTTGATTCAATGATCGGGCACATAGAAGTTCTAAATCAATCGCCGCACGGTGACAAAAGGCCCTAAAGAGTGCACGCACTGTGACAAAACCAAGAAAATGCATGAAGTAGAAACGACTCCCAGCGCTATGCGATGGGACTGTTTAGTTTTTTGGGGGTAAATTCAGCTGCACAGTCTGGTGTTAAACTGAGGCTACACGTGAACTCCTTCCTGCCTGCAGCATCTACAGATCCCAGGAGCTCAGCGGTGGGATTTTATTTTTTATTTTTTCACGCAGTCCAGAAATTCTCCCGGTATCTGGAGGATTTGTGGCGTCTCTTTATCTCCCCTCTCCATCCTTACTTTTGTTTGAGTAGCTCCGGCGTTTAGCTCCGACCTAACCGACTGTCTCCTGCAGCTCACAGAGACACATCGGAGGACTGTCGGAGCTGCCTGGAGTGTTCCCGCGACAACGGCTGCGTGCGTTGCCCCGAGAGACTCTTCCTGTTCCTGCAGAGGGATGGGATGTCGCACCACGGGACCTGCCTCCACGCCTGCCCGGCCGGACACTACGGACAGAGAGGGAAGGACATCAACCGCTGCATGAGTACGTTTCTTTTACCCGCAGAGATCTGACTAAGCGTCACGAGCCAGTTTAAACCCGATTCAACCGTCTGGAGGCCTCAGCTAGTCACCAAGAACACACAGTACCCACAAACACTGTTGAGTTTACACTGTTGGACCGCTTCTTCTTTTATTGAGACGCCTAATTCATTCCAGAAACACACTGTCCCAATAAAAGAAAGAGAAACTCTACCTAACAGTGCATAGTTTTTGTCTCATTCACTAAAAAAATTTACTTGACTCAAGAGATGCCAGTAAGCCTTTGGAAAGAGGTCACCAGAAGTTTAGCTTGTTTTTTCTTCTTCTTTGCTCCGCTACAGCTGCAGACGAACCCACCACTGCTGGCATCCCTCGACCTGAGAGCAACATCTCTGATTAAAATACTTGCTGATAGAAAAACAACGAAGGAATAAATATTCAGAGGTGGCTCAGGAGAGGGTGCGCTCTAAAACTCATCGGCGCTTGTGGATATTTGCGTTGGATTGACGTAGTTTACGCAGACAACATCCCTAAAAGACAAAATCTTGCTTCAGCTACTAACAAAACAAACAGCATCCCTGTTTCATAAGATGCTGAAGCATTTTCTGATCCACCAACGCCACAGTTTGAGCTACTTCTATCTAATTAAACTCCAACACCTGTCCCGTTGGTTTAAACTGATGTCCGTCACTCCTATCGTTCAACAGGAAGTCCAAAATCCATATTTAAGCAGCTAAGATGCCATTTCCTGTTTTTTTTCTTTGCAGTATTTTGGTCAGTGAACAGTTTAAACTGCTGCAACATGTTGAAACAGCTTCATCCTTCCTCATGTGTGTTTTACCCCCACAACTCAAACCTGTATGGAAACGACAGAAGGGTTTCCTCTTGGATTCATAATGAAAGTAGTTTGTGACTCATGTGTGTTGGTGTCCCTCCCGTCAGAGTGTCGCTCTTTGGACTGCGAGCAGTGTTTCAGCCGCGACTTCTGCACCAAATGTAAACCTGGTTTCCAGCTGCACAAAGGCAAGTGTCTGAGCCGCTGCCCGGAGGGAACCTTCGCCCACCAGTCCGACTGCCTCGGTAGGTCACGCTCTTGATATTACGCCACTGAGTAATGAGTCATGAATGGCTTTTAATGAGTTCTGCCTGCGAGCAACGGCATTTGTTTCACTTATCTGGACAAGAGTTATTATAACAGTTCACTCACAGATTATATCAAATCGTATCTACACGATGGAATATTTGGGTTATTTCATCTCAAATCATCAGACGCCTTTTTCATGCTGCAACACCTCTGATTTGCTCCTTATGTTTTTTTCAGCGTGTTTTTTTTCAAAATTTGAGGCTGTTTGAATGACAACATCTCAGGAACTGTTTAAGATAAAAGCCTGAAGTTTTCACTGTTGTTTCTCATCATGTCGACAATTTAGAATCTGCAATATCAAATAAGGAGATCAAATAATCTCGAGAAATTGGTGAGTTGAAATATGAAAAAAATATGAAGCTGTCATCATCTGTGAGCTCACATTAACAAAGAAAGTAGGACAAGTTGTATTTTTCATTCTCAGACCTCACGTTGTAGGAATAAACCTCGGTTTGGAGGATACCTGTCTTGTAGTTTAGTGTAATTTCTTTCGGAATGATTTCTTCAATCACCACCGTATGCAAATCAGAGACGGTCGAGTAAAACTTGTTTGAAAAATTTGATGCAAAGACCCAATTAGTATTTAAGAATCCTGAGGTAATCAATCACGTCATCATCTCTGCATGTTCATAAAACACTACACAACTCCTTGTGATCAAAATAGTCTCAAGAGATGAGTCCAGTCCCACTTGTGGAGGCTCGGATGCGTCTCAGTGGTGATGTTTTAAATTTAATGGACGCTTCTAACAGCAAGAAGCATCGAGAGGAATGCATCGTTCAGCTTTCAACTTTGTCCAGGTGATTACATGCACACTTGCCTCTGAGTCATGAGGTTTTTAGAGCATCCAGGTTGTGTAGATTTTAACATAGCCTGGTTTCAGAGCACTGGTTAACCCCTTTTACCACTTTGTAGGACAACAAATATGCAAAAACTGGAATTCTGCAGCATGTAAACACCTCATCTAGGTTTCTACATTTCTGCCCGCTTTTATGTGTGCAGATGCATCTTAAACATAAAGTCGAATGATAAATGGAACAGCGGTGGACTGCATGCAGAAAAAAAAAATAAAAGGGGGAGTACTGCTAATGTATTCCAGCGCTGCTGACCAGACCTATAGGAGCCTTTACTGCTGTTTGTGTAGCTTCCAGGCAGCCAGAAACCAAAGAGGGTTCATCCTCACAGGGATGACTTAAGAGAAGACACTGTCACAAAGACCAGATGTGGAGGGAAAAACCTGGAAACCTGGATAACGTTAGAATCATGTGTACGGGGAGACGTGTAACCAGGTACTTCTAATGTAAACGCCATGTTCCACATCAACCCAAGATAAGAGTCAAGAACATTTCACGAACCGGCACGATAAAACACCTTTACTATCCTAATTGCTGTTTTGAAGCCGGTGACAGTTCACTGACCCCGTCCGGCTATAAAATGTAGGTCGCATCAGCTAATCTGAGAGGTTTAATCAACAGCAGACTTGTTCCCGCAAACTCCTCTCCTTTTATCTGCCTCTCTGGATCTTTGGCCGCATCCCCGCGGTCGCTTCACGTGCGAATGTTTGAGCATCTGCGCTTCGATTTTAGTCAAATAATCTGATTAAGTCGTGACCGAGTGCACCTGCGAGAGAAACAAATCCTTCACTTGAATCGAATATTTCTCAGGGAGTGGCAGCAGTAAAAGATTTTATGTGTTTTTATCGCTGGCAAGTTCAAACTACAAATTCTGTCTTGAAATATTTAAAATACCGTCGTCACCTGGTTCTGCGAACGCTCAACGGCTCTTTCCCTCCGTCTAAATAGTTTCTGATGGGGCCAAAGTCTCTGCGCAGCATGTGATTCGCATTAAAAGTCTTGAGAGACGCTTCAGAATTTATCTTCATATCTCGTTGTGTATCATCCCTCCCTTCTAAGTAAGTGAGATATATCGCGGAGGCTCGCTCATCGCTCGACGCCGCTCTGCCGTCCACCTGCACCATCTGCAGCTACTGTTGTTTTCTTGGCATCCGGACCACATCTGGTTTTCATGGCGATGTTACGGTTTCATGTCTGACTGTTGGTACGCACCTCGAGCAACTCCAGAGAGACAAAAAAAAAAAAAAAGGGTCACTGGAAATTTCTTCATCGCGAAGCTGAAGATGATAATCGTGATTGCCGAGAAATGTTGGCCTCGCGTCTGAGCCGGAGCTGCCGCTGCTTTTCCGTTTGTGGAAAATCTTGCGGCGGCTGATTTTGTGGGTGACATCACTCGTCGGCCGCCGCTCGCTACAAGCGCAGCGTCCCGTGTGTTGATGCTTCAGCTGGCATTCATCTGCCTTCAATCAGAGCGCCGCGGCTGCCAGGGGTCCAAAGAAAACATTAGTCTCCGTATATCGTTCCCACTTTATGGCCGTGATTTATTGTTTTATCTCCGTTATCTCGGTCCATCGCTTTAATCTGGGAGCACAGTCGGCCTGCCAACAACATTAAGTAATAGGAATAGACCTGTTATCGGCCTGGGCTTTTATTGTGGCCGATATTTTGCTTTTTTTTTCCCAATTATCTGTATCGTTATTTTTAGTGGCCGATTATTGATATTTTGAATTAAATGCACCACTCTCTGTCATCTCTCTGTGGTCTCATTTCTTTTAAGCAGAAACTGCAAAAACTGAACACAAGCAGTTGCCACAAACCAGGAAGTTAGCTCCTCTCACAGCAGCTAAAGCTATGCTAACGGCTAACGGCTAAGTCAGCAGGAAGCCACAGATTAACCTGGAACAGGGTCTGGAGAACAATAATTATCAATGCTGTAAGATCTGGACTGTAGTGAATAATTAAAGTGATAGAACGGTGAAAGATTGATAAAATAACGAAGAACGGCAGATGTAACCTCAGGAGACAAACTGGTCAGTCTCAGAGCATCCTAATGTAGTCATTCCTATTTTACATATTCAGTTATAGTCGCCTGTATTAATGAAGAAACCTCGTTATGAATGACAGATTCCTGCTGTCACATGCTCTAAAAATATTACATTTAGTCTACATTGGTTCCATCAGTCTTCCTTAATTTCCAACAATGGCATCGATATCAACCCTGAACAACCCATATCAGCCAATCCCTAATAAGTACTCTTAAGGTTCTTCACATAGCAAAGTCAAGGCCTTATAATATTACATAATAAAGAGAAATCCAATGATTACCTTTAGAAAGCATTTGGCGAGTGTATAAAGAAGAAACTTCCGGCAGAACCGGGTCCAGATGCAATAGCCGTCTGCCTCAACTGGTGAGGGTAAGGTGGAGAGAAAACAAACAATAAGAACAACAACGGGAAAAAAAAATTTGCATAAATTTCTATTAAATCAACTTATCGAAGGTGTCATACGGTGGAAATCCATTTTAAAGCATGAAACTCTAAAGTTTTAACCTTCAAGAGTCCAAAACTCTGAAACCAATCATAGCACGAAGGTAAAACCCTGCGTGGCCTCATCAGATACACCAAAGACAATCCACAAAAACAATCAGCCAATTCTGAAGGGCTCGGGTGGAAAGAACTGAGTGATTTTTAACCGATAGAGAAAAACAGCGAGCACTGGAATTAAGTAATCTGAATGGCTGAGCTGTGTGACTCGACTCTGTTGATGTACTGATGGAAGTGGTGCTACGGAAAGAGGAATGAAACTAAACTTATCAAGACAAAAGTAGAAGCTCTTGCTGTTTGAATATCAAGATGCCTGATACATACTTTCAAATCTTACCCACCAACCACCTGCTCGTATTAATTGGGTGCATGACCTGATGAGATGTGTTCACCTTGAGAAGACGAGGTATTTGAGAGATAGAAATGTAGACAACTTTATTTCACTTTCAGAATCATTTATGTCTCACTTCTCCACTGAAATTAGCTGGCCTCTTAAATCTGTTTGTACAACATATGATCCATTGTTCTGTTGTTCTTGGTAGTGACATTATTACTTTTCTTTACCGCAGTACTGTGCTTTTATAATTAAATACCACTGCTGACAGTAACTATTAGGACTGCTAGAGATGGTGATGTTTGTTCACATCTGTGGTTGTTGTCTCATAAGTTGTTAAATCAAAATGTAGAAACTAAAGAACTAGTCCGACCTGTACCGATGCGATCATTAGACGTTGGCTCAACAACATGACGTTTAAGATAAACTTTAATTTTTGTTGATTTACAGATTTTCACTTTATTTGTGTGACTTTGAAGGTTTATTCTACATGCTGGCTATTGAATAAATACATTCAGATTAAACATCATAAAGCACAGACAATACATAGTTCTAGTTTATCGTCTTTTAAACATTGTGCTGATTTAATTTTTGAAGTCTTTATCAACACCAAAACTCCTGATAAGGGATGTAGGGCTGGTAAAATAACACCTGTACAGATGTTTCAGCCCCGATGGATCAGTAATAGAAGCTGTACTCTTGTGTTTCTTAATATTATATTGAAGTATTCACCAGTGCCTGCAGTTTATTTATGCAGTTTGACAGGAAGAAGTTTTTTATACCTGATTTATGTTCAGTGCCGAACCGATCTAACACTGATCTACATGAGACTGTGTGTAAACTCAAGAGAGACCGCAGATCTCCTGTGCAGCTTTTTATTGGGCCGCCCTGTTATGATTAAAAACCACTGGAGACTCATGTACAACCTCTTATCATAATCTGCTGCAAACCGTCCGTCTTGATCGCTGACGTTTAACTCGGCGGGAGCAGCAGCGGCTCAGATTAAAACGGCTCATTTAGAGCAGCACTAAAAACACAAGTTCTACTGATACGGTGCAACCCGGTCTGCAGAAAAATGACGACTAAGCTGAATTCTCAAACGCGTTTTAAAGGGAACATGAGTTTGTTTCGAAATAAACAGAATTTGAGACCCGTAACTTGGTGGAAAAGGTGACGGAGAAGGTTGGTTGGTGGCAAAAACCAGAACTTTAACCCAACAGAGCAGATCGATGTCTCGGCTCATGTTTGCTTTCTGGTTCAGTTTAAGCACCAGAAACTATGTGGGGTTTTTGGCTTTATTAGACATTTTTAAATGTTAGAAACCTGGTTAGGGTTTGGAAAAATAACTGTCCTATGGAACTAAACTGCATTCTCATTTACATTATGAAACCTTTTCTTGACTGTGTCTTGGTAGGAAAGACGTCCAGTTTATAAAAGCGACAAAGTTCATGTGGGACCATTTTTCTGACATTTAAGTTTCATTTTCCTTTCAGCTTTTTCTCGTTCTTTGGTTGGGTTTAGGCACAAAAACTACTTGGTTAAGTTTAGGAAAACATCTCCCTTTGTTAAACACTGTTAGAAGCTTGGTTAGACACCAGTAACACCTAGCTTGGGTGAGGAAATACACCATTTTGGGGTTAAAATACGACTCTATTACTACACGGTTGAAGCTTTTCCTCCTTTTTCTTGGTTACCAGGGTGTCAAGTCCCATTCTGTCCTATATATGACTGTTTGGCTTGTTTGATTCCTTTAAAATGTAATTGAGAGTGCAGTTTAGTAGGACTAAGATCAATGAATAATCAGATTAATGATACGGACCAGTTCTGACCACATGAGATCTTTTCTTTCACTTTCAAGAACACCTTAGAGTTCACTGGATTCACATGTGGAAATGATTAAGCATTTGGCTCCTACAGCTCTGCTGCTTGCCCGGCATTATCCTCTTTTCATTTTTCTGGTTTGGTTACAAGAAAAAACACACACACAAAAAAAAACAACTTTTAATTTGAAATATGTTTTCTTTTGCGTCTGAGGCCTCTTTAATCAATTTGTCTCTTTGCTCTCTGGTTCTGGTCTCCGTTAGAGGACTGTCTCCTGGCTCCGCTGGGAGACTGGAGCGAGTGGAGCGTCTGCCTCCGTGACGGCGCCACCTGTGGGTTCAGGTGGGGGAAGCAGACCAGGACCCGAGGGGGCGGCCAGAGGACGCCCGAGGAGAAAACGGCATCGCTCTGCCCGTCCCACAGCGAGACGCAGAGGTGCCGGATGAAGAAAAAGTGTCCCACAGGTGAGAAGTGCAAACAAACATTTAGCTGAACTTAAATGTGCGTCTAATAACCACCGTCTCGTACAGCTGGCTGGTTTATTTACTACATCACAGTGCCAACATCTGTGGATTCCCGGCCTTGTGTTTTGTGCTGCGTTGACACTCTTGTGCGATTTATAATGCCAAGCCGGGCAGGTTGGACTCCGTCAACATTCTCATTAACACTCGTAGGCGAATAGTTTCCTGGAGCTTTGCTGCAGCGCTGGTTTGCTTGTTTTGACTTGTACGTTTGGGCATCCCTCGCTGGTGTCACCTGAAGGCTCAAAACAACCTCAGGATGGAAGAGAAAATGCCGAATGAATTGTCTGAAATATGTCGTAGCTCCAGCGATAAGTGACGGACACGTTGTCCACAACACGGGCGAACAACATGGCCATTGTTCTTGTTGTGTTTCCAATGAAAACCTAGCCTCCTTTCAGAACTAGCCTGTCCAGTTCCAGCTGTCCTTTATTACCGCCGCATTGTGAACAGTCAAATTGCAGCATGATACTGAGACTCAGGAACAAGAAGTTCTTGGACAACGCAGGCTTTTTGCAATAACTTCTTCTTTTCATAAAAAACAAACTCCACTTTAGGGATGACACAGGAATCATCTTCTGATCTGAGCTCTCTTCGGTGCTTTCTGGTGCAAATCATTGTTGGACAATGAACGTATTTTCTGATTTTGTTTTCTAAAGTGAGAGAAATGGGAAACAAACACTGAACCACTTTTGGCAAAATCTGGCTGTTTGCTGACCCGTCCATCCACCCTGACCTCCTCCCAAAGTGGATTAGCATCACCAGACTGGCACCTTTGCTGCCCTAAATCATAGATTGTGTAACACTGGTTGAATCTTCGGTCAAAAGCGGCAGGAAGCTGTGAGGAAACGTCGAGCTCATCTGTTATTCTTGTGAGTTTGTGTTTGAATCACTGCAACACTGTCTTGGGGTTTTTGTTTATGGCAAATGAAATGGGATACAAATATCCTACGAAGCCAAGTTTCGGCTTGACGACATGAAGTGGAACAAAAGTGCTGTGAGGAAAAATCGCTTTCAGAAAAAAAACTGTTCTATTAAAAAGGAAGAAATCCCGTACGGGGGTGATTCCTTTGAGAGAGACGTTTGTGACGAAAAACAATCCTGAAAAACGGCATCACGAAGAAGAACCGTTGTGTGTTACGGGACAGCAGTCGCATTAAAGCCATGCGACGATTATTAGTTCTGCATCTGTGAAGTGGCATCTCCCGTGGAAACATCCTCAAAGACACATCTACTGACTCTTACTGAGGGTTTCTTTGCGGATCACGAGAGAAGTTTCAGAGTATGAAGGTGATGAGAGCGATAACAGACTCTCGTACGTCCAACTCGCTCGGCTCCCCGTGGCTAAAAAAGGACTTGTATTTCTTTACGTTGGCCGCCCCGCCGCGAGATTACATCTTAAAACATCACACCTCCTCGGCTTCGCCGGAGGTTTATGCATTTGGGTTGTTTCCATCCAAGGATATCCAAGTGGAGATAGGAGTGGTGGCATTCAGGGCTTAATGCTCATCATGTGTTTTGTGTTTTTTGAGGGTCCAAAGGAACCTGAAAATAGACTCCAACTGCAAAAAAAAACATTTTTGAAAACCCTGTGTTGTGAAAACGCTGTCAATACTAGTTAAAACTGCACTGAAGAGAACAAAACCGCAGATTATTTCGCCCCTTATTTTTAAGGCTCTAATCAGCAAGAGAAGCATTGTGCCGGAGACGAGGCCTGGCTCTTGTTTTTAACTCTGCATTAAATTAATGATGAACTTCATACGGACATCCAAAACATTAAAAAAGCCAAACTTGGCAGCGCTTTGTGCTTTCCCTCCAAAACCAGCTTGTTGTTTTGACCTTTTTCTGTTTTATTATTATTGTTCCATATTTTCATCTTCTTACACAAACAGCACAAGAAGCTGTGAAACATTTAAACAGTGCGGAGGAATGCGATGTGCCGCGTCGTTTATAACTCGTTCCTGCTAACGCTGCGACTATCGTCTTGTTCTTGGTGTGCGTCTGCGTGCATGCCTCTGTGTTTTAGGTTTTTTTTTTCCACTTCTTCCACAATGGAAGGCATGTCATTTGAAGTAATCATCATTATCATTGTCAGATCGTATGTCCGGTGGCATTAGCGGAGGAAGAAATCCGATCCAGCGGAGTCTGGCCCATGAATCGGTCCCGTGGACCTAATAGCACACATCTGGGATAAAAGGGTGCTGTGGCATCTCCCTGACATTCCTCTGTTGTTCCAGATTAGACGGCTCTAGTCTTTTAATTCCCGCTCTCTTGTTGTCTTATTGTTTTCAGATGATGAGGAAGGACATGGGTCTCTCTCCTCTGTTGTTCACTCCGTCTCCTCACCGATGGCAGAAATCTGTCATGGCCTAACAGAGGGGTTGGTTGCTTGTTTTCCTGGCAATTTAGCAACATCTGACAGACACGGTTAAGATGTTAGGCTGACGGGGGAACGTCTCGGCGACACGGATAGCTTTCTATTCTTGTCTAACAAACAGGAACTTTTAAGGAACCAGTTCAAGATCTGATGGTTGCAGGTGGTGCTTTCCTGGATGTCTGCAGAAACACGTAGGAAGTAACTGGAACGCTCGCAGCTGATTTCCTGGACCAGCTATGTAAATCTAGGTGGAAAAGCAGCATTTATCCCTTTGGCACAAAGAGACAGTGAACAAACTGTCCTGTATAAACATAGTTTAACGAAGTCTTAAGAGCCTCTGACTGTGTTGTGAGGCTGCACTTGTGCTTCCAGTTAAATGTGAGCAAACTTTAGTTAAGCACAGCTGAGTCCAATGAGGATGTGTCGGGTCATAAATCTACGCATTTCAAAGTAACATTTTTACTCAATGTTGGTCCTTGTGGAAACATCACAGCTCATCTTTAATGGGACCAAACAGAAAGTTCTTGGGCTGAAAATTGAAGCCAGAGGGGGAAGTGCTAAAAACTGCAGTTCTTCAAATGGCCACTAGAGGCTGGTTCTAAAAGCGAGTAAAGCCCCATTGACCCCCATTTAAAAATGTCCAACTTTAATGCAAACATAAACATGTTTAGAGCGAGTTGTGTTCTCTTTAGCTGATTTCCACAATAATGACAGCTGTACGATTATCAATACACGAGTCTAAGCCACTGGAATTTAAGAACTGAGGAAACACTATCTGATATAAAACGGGCCATGAGGAAACACCAGATGAGATAAAGTGACATAAAATAAGATTAAATAAGCTGGCTAATTAAAATAAATAAAACAAAATACCTACTATTAAAATATATAGAAATGAAGTCAAAATTATTTTTTTTTGGATTAACCAAGTTAATCTCGCTTTACCGGACCATTCTGTGGTACAAACTATTCTGCTGTAGGTTAAAAAGCTCTCTGGTTTGTTTGTATTTCTTTGTACCAATCACAGCTGTCTTGGTTGGAGCTATAGGAAGGAGGCAGGTTTGGTGTTTAATTAAAAACAATGATGAGTTTGTTCCATTCAAACAGTACTTTCTAGTAAACCTCTTGTGGTTTCATCACACATGAAACTGTATCTAGTTTTGTTTTTACCAAGTGTCTGCATGCTAGAAAAGCTAGCTCCCCTTGGAGTAAACAAGTGGTTACCATGTTGTCCTCGTAGTTTAATCGTAGCAACTGGACTTGCTTAAGGTTCTTGAAGACGTTCCACCTCCCATCCAAGAGGCTTCATCAGCTCTGACTGACTAGTTGGGAGTTCCACATACTTCTATCCTTATGGAGCCATTAACACCTGGGTTTCGGTTTTAATTGGGGGTTTGTTGCTCCTTTCCCTCGATATGCGAGTTGTTAGTACTCCCCCTGCCACAAAGGGGTTTGTTAAGGTCTTTTGTGGCTCGGTGTGAATTCACACTCAGGTGTTAATGGCTCCTTTAGGTTATAAGTATGTGGAACTCCCAACTAGTCAGTCAGAGCTGATGAAGCCTCTTGGATGAGAGGTGGAACTTAAACAAGTCCAGTTGCTACGATTAAACTACAAGAATAACCGTGACCTGGATGACTGAGAGTCTTCACAGACATCTAACCAAGTTATCTGACCCTAAAAAAAACCCCAAAAAGAGTTAATGACACACAAAGGTTCAAGAAATGCAACCCTACAACTGTGCACCTGAAAATCCACCTCCAACCTCGAACTATAAACTTTGTTGCTCAAACTAAAAGCCTTTCTACGACATTACAGGGGAGAAAATATGTTTGTTTTAAAATGTCAATTAGAATGCAATTTAGTTTCTTACTTCTTTACATGACGTTAATTATCCTGTGAGCTGTTGACTGTCCATTAAAAAACAACTTCATGATGGCACCAGAGGAAAGCTTCAGGACGCATTGTCTGAGAACAATGAACAGAAATTTGTACCTGTCCATCCAGTAGATGTTTCAAATAAGTCAAAACTTAAACCTGCTTCTGGCACAACAAGGAAAGTCAGAGGATCAGTCATTAGGATTCATCTCCTGGCCTCCAATAATTAAGTTCAGACTTCTCGTCTGCACTAAAGAGACAGACGGACTGACGTTGCCATCCCTCTGGGTCTCTGCAAAAAAACAAAATAATAGACATTCAATAGCATACCCTAAATCCATGCATGCTGTATGGTGTGTTTTGTTCTAACCAAGCTTGACACGATGCATCTAAAGCTAATTATTTTCAAGTGGTTAACCATAATGTGACTGAGAAAGATAGAAGTTCTTGTACCCGCAGCCTGCAGCGCTTCTCACGCTGAGGATCGTCTTCAACCGTCAGACAACAAAAAAACGAGAACCCGCCGGCTGTCACTTCAGCCAAACACGACTGAGCTGTACATTATTCTGATTAATAAACCGGCTCGGTACTTGCTGAGGTGTGGATTCTGCAGGTGTTTCAACGATCCGTCCACTCCTGAGATCTAAAACCTGTCAAGTCATTTTTGTGCCTCGCCATCCGGCTCATAAA